CACTCCCCTTCCCCTCCCCTCCCCTCCCCTCCTCCTCCCGGGCTGGGACCCGAAAGTGCAGGAGGAAAGCTGGCAGCGCCTCCTCTCGCTCTCCCCGCCAGCTGCACGGCGCAGATGGAGAAACTGAGGCAAGGCCCCACCAGGCAGGGATCAGGACACACCCCTCGGAGCCCCTAGGAGTCCCCCACCCGCACACCCCGCTCGCTCTCTCTGCCCCTCAGCGTGCCAACTGGGCAGCTTCCGATGACCTTGGACGCGTGTCTTCACAGAGCACTGCAGTGCTCGAGGTTAGTTCCGGACGCCCTGCCGCCGGCCCAGGGCCCGGGGCTGCAGTGCTGCACCCTTCCTCCACTGACCTTGCTGTTCTCTCCGTGCGCAGCGTTGACTTCACAGTGTTTGTCGCCTGTCTCTCCCGCCGGCCTAGGTGACCCGGTGCCCAGAGCACAGGAGGTGTGCGTGGACAGCCACGTGCACGGAGCCTTTCTTCAGACGCCACCTCACTGGTTCTCAGCAACACTTCTGTGGGCCTGGGGCCATGCCAGACCCCTTTGGGGAGATGGGGAAACTGAGGCACACTGGGACGTGGTGGAGTCTAGATTGGAACCCAGGGGTCCTGGTCACATCTTGGTCCTTGCTCCCCCAAGTCAGAACAGGGGTAGCCAGTGCATCTGGAAAAGCCCGGAGAGGAAGCTGGGCACGCTTGGTGGTGCACGCCTGTAATTCCAGCATCCAGGAGGCTGAGGCAGGAGAATCGCTGAGAGTTCAGGGCTGGCCTGAGCTGTATGGGAGACCTTGTCTTAAAAAACAAAAACAAAAAAACAAGAAAGCTGCCAGCAGTGACGTCCGTGCACGCCCCGCCCCCCTCGGTGCCTTGGAAGCCCGAGGCCGAGCTCAGGGAGCCGCGGGAGCCGGAGAGGGAGAACCGCACTTCCCCTCGCCCGGGGCGGCTCCATCGATCGCGTGCAGGGGCTTCGCTCAGCGCCGCAGCCGCCGCTCAATTATCAGGGAGAAGCTGGGGCGGCCGTGGCGGCGAAATGAGTTATCGATCCTCGCGGGCGGGCGGGCAGGCGGCTGCGGACCCGGGCGAGGGCAGGAGGCCCCGCCCCCATCCATCGACCTGGCCGCGCCCCTTGGCCCGGGCACCAGCGCGGCCCTGGGGCCTGGGAGAGAGCGCGCCCCGCCCTTTACACTGACCTACAGCCCCAGCCCTTTTTCATTTTTATTTTTTCCAGTTTTTAATCTTGAAGCCGGGCGTGATGGCACATACTTGTAATCCCAGCACTGGAGAGGCTGAGGCAGGAGGATCGCTGGGAGTTCGAGGCCACGGTGGGTCACACAGTGATTTCAAGGCCAGCCTGGACTGCACAGGGAGACCCTGTCTCAAAAAAAAAAAAAAACCAAGGACACAAAAAAAGTAATTTTGAGGTAGAGTTTTTCTCAGTCTCTAAATTGCCCACGCTGGACTGGAACGGGTGATCCTCCTGCCTCAGCCTCCTAGACTGCTGGATTTACAGTCTTAGCTAAGTGTTCAGGCTTTTTGTTGTGTTTATTACCACCAATCTTCCCAGCAGCTCCAGATATCACATCTCTGGCTGATAGACGAGGAAACAAAGCTCAGAGAGGGAGGCGCCTTGCCCAGGGTCACACAGCAAGCAGAGGTCCCCTGGACCCCAGAACTGGCTCTTGGAGGGGCTGAAGGATGGGGAGGGCTGGCCAGGGGAGAGGGGCAGGGACGGCGGGTGGGGGGGTGACACAGGCACCTGAGGCCCTGCCAGCCTGCTTGGGGGGATCTGTGAGTGACATGGAGCTGTCCCTGTCCCTGCCCAGGGCTTCTACAAAGGGGGTTTGCACCCACCGTCACTGTATTGTGACTCCCAGTCTGAAGTGCAGGAACGGGGCGGACAGGACAGGGCCCAGGGGTGAGGGGCGAGGGCACCCACATATCCCCGAGACACAGGGACTGCGGGGTCCTGCACTGCGAGGGACACTCTGGGTTGGGGGGTCTTGTGCGCTAGGATCAGGGTGCAGGTGGGGACTGGGGCTGGGAGGGGGAGGAGGGGTGGATGGGGCTGATCTAGGGATGAGGTAGGGGAGAGAGATGTACCACCCAACCCGTTAGGGATCTAGGGGTGGATACCTTGAGTTCCTCCTAAAATCCAAGAATGAATGCTAGGAACGGCGGAGTTAAGAGTAGGAAGTATTTATTGAGGGTTAGACACCTCCTGCCTGAGAGGGACAGGAGGGGACCTCAAAAGTGAATTCCCCAGGAGACCCCACTTCTCAAAGAAATTGTATAGAGAAAAATTAGGAGGTGGGCTCAAGGTGGGACAAAACTCTGGTCAGCCAGTGAGACTCCAGGTACAGTGGCTTGGGTAAGTGATCCATGGGGAAGCAGGAAGTGTGCACAGGGAGAATAAGGCCCTTTCCGGGCCATCCCCACCCAAGGTGAGCGATGCCTGTTTAGAATATCAGTCATTTTCATTCAGCCTTTGGGGGAGTGTGTGGGTGTGGTGATTTCATTTTTATCTTCTGGCCTGGCCTGGCCTTCCAGGAATGCGCCTCCACCTCCAGCCGCAGGTGTGACCCGTGTGACCCGTTCTTCTGCACTGACTTCTTCGAGGGCCCAGCCCTGTCTGACTGCCCATAATATTTCTATCTAGCCCTGGGGATTTAGGCTCAATGGCTGCCTCCCAAGCGCAAGGTCCTGAGTTTGATCTCCGGTACCGCCAAAAAACCAAAAAAATTGTATCACATGTCACATGTGTGCTACTGTGTGTGAGTGACCATATTCACACAAAGGGAGAAACACTGTCCCTGGGTCTCCTTAAAAGGGTCCCGAAACTGTGCACGCCTGTCATCCCAGCACTCTGGGAGGCTGAGACAGGAGGATACCAAATTCAAACCCAGCAGGGGCAATTGATCGATTTAGGGAGATCTTGTCTCAAAATAAAAAGGGCTGGGGATGTGGCTAAGTGGAAAGGCCCTGGGTTCAACTCCCAGTGTCACAAGAAAGGGGGACCTAGCCTGCACTTCCCATCACCCAGGGAGGAGTCTGAAGGTGGAAGGGGCCCTAATGTCCCCGCCTTGTTGTCCGGCTCAGAGGCTCAGCAGCCTGGCCTGGCCTGGCCTCCTTCCTGTCCATCCTGGAGTCACCACCCCACCCGCAGCTAGTCCACAGCCCCTGGCCTGCCTCCGGGGTTGGGGCGGGAAGCCTGGTGTGCAGTGTAGGTGGCCTGGGGGTGGCATGGTGGTGGCGAGGGACGGAGGACTAGGGTCCTGTGCTGGGCTCCGGGCTCCCACAGCTTCTGGCTGCGGAGCCCCAGGGGGTTCTCAGGACAGCCCGGTCCTCACCTTGCCCTACGGACTGCTGCTGGGCACCAGGGAGGCAGGAAACTGATTCCAAAGCGGGTTTCGCCTTTTGTTACACTCCCTGCCCCCAGGCTGCATTCCACACCCAAGGAGCCCGCCTGCCTGCCCGGAGGAAGCCAAAGCCACTGCCCAGGCTCCCGTTACAGCCTGGTGCTGAGCCACTGGCCACTGTGACTTCCCTCGGGCAGGCCCTGCCCACCTGGCCCTACCTGGGAGGGCAGGAGCTGGGAGGAAGGGCACAGGGACGACCCCAGTGGTGCAGGCCTCAGGGAGATGTTATTTTCTCAGAAGGGCGCGGGCTGGTGTGCTGCTCTGGGCCTGGCTGCACCAAAGCCACCGGGGACCCTGGCCAGGCTGTGGGGGATCGGGGGCCACCCTGTGCCTGGCCTGGTCGCTAATACTTTGTCTGGGTGTATTTGACAGTTGGTAAATGGCTGTGATCCCTCTCTCTGTTTTCTGAGATGGGGTTTCACTCTGTAGTCCAGGATGAGGCTGGCCTTGAACTCACGGCGTAGCCTCTCTAGTCAGGCTCACCAGAGGAGCAGCCCCCACCGGGGGAGTTGCACTGCTCAGCCCAGCAGGGTTCCCACTGCCCAACAGCTACAGAGCACCCACAAAGGTCTGCTTGACCACCTGTCACCCAGGGCTGGGCACTGGGAAACCTGCAACAAAAGAATCAGCCTTCCATGCACAGGAAGCTCTGCTGGGGCCTCCACAAGGAAAAAGCCCAGGGTAGCAAATGACAGCAGATGCTACCAAAGTTGGGAAAGAAACCCAAGTCAAGGGGCCATGTATGAGGACAAAGATGGGGGAGGAAGGGAGAAAGGGAGAAAGACTGGGAGAGGGTGAGGAGGGGTGACAGCTTGTGCCAAGGCCCTGGGGTAGGGGGGAGCAGAACACAGGTGAGTTCCACGGGGCTGGTTCCTCCCTCAGGGCACAAAGAGGCTTCCAGGACTAGAAGGGAACCAACTGGCCAATTCCCATCATGTCCCCTTCCCGCTCCAGTATGGAGCTCCTCCCATATCCATGTGTGCTTCAAATTCTAGCATGGGGAGTGCATGAGATGAGGGTGTTTAAGATGTAGGTAGCGCACACCTGTTATCCAGCTGCTCAGGATGCTAAGGCAGGAGGATGGTGAGTTGGAGCCCAGCCTAGGCAACTTAGACCCTTTCTCAAAGTAAAAAAATAAAAAGGGCGGGGCACTTCAAGGCCCAGGAATGCACTAGGTCACTGTTCTGTCCTGCGCTGACTTGTGGGGTGCCCTGCAGTTCCCTCTGAGGCTCCCGGGTCCATTCATTGCCTGCCACTTCCGGCTTCCACGGGCTGCCAGCAGTTCTGGGCTCATGGCCCCATCCCTCTCCCCATCAGCCTTTCCTCATCTCTCTTCAATCCTCTTACAAGGACCCCAGTGATGACACCTGGGACTCACTCGGATAATCCAGGATCATCTCCCCATTTTAAGGCCCCCAATTTAGTGGAGTGTGGTGGTACAACTCCTGTCCCCATGGAGGGCCTGTGAACCCAGGATGGAGCAGGAAGGCAAAGGAGAAGGAGGTCTGAGTTTGGAGCTTGCTCTGCCCTGACTTACAGGAGTGATGCCAAGCAAGGAGTTTCACTTTCCTGAGCCTCAGTTTCCTAATCCGTAAAGTGGGCACACTATTGGTATCCACCCAACCAGGTTTTTTTGTTTGTTTGTTTTTTGAGACAGGATCTCACTATGTAGTCCAGGCTGGCTTTGAACTCCTGGTGATCGTCCTGCCTCAGCCTCCTGAGTGCTGGGATCACAGGCGTGTGCCACCACCCCTGGCTCTGCATTTAGTCTTTTTTTTTTTTTTTTTTGAACCGGGGATCAAACTCAGGACCTTGGGCTTTCGGGGCAGGCAGCAACAACCACTGAGCTAAATCTTCTGCCCCTCTGCATTTAGTCTTAATTCATGTGTCCTCTTTTCCTCCAACTGAGAGCTCCCTGAGGATCAGGGCCTCTCTGTCTCCTGTTCCCGAGACTGGCATAGTGTTTCGAAAGAGCTGGGCTTGGACAAGTGATGATTAACAAAGGCAGGAAGAGAACGGACAGAAATGGCCCGGCACACTGCTGCCACACAGTAAATGCCCAATAAACACTTGCTACTGTTCATCCACAGGGCAATCATAGGCTCAAAACTCTCATAAACTATCTTTGGGTGCCTCTGAGCTCTGCTGCTTTAGTGAAAGGTAGGGTGCAGTGGGGGACCCCCTCCTCCTGAGCCGTGTTTTGAGCACTGTTTGCTGGGGACAGGAGGGGAAGGTTCCCACCTGAAAGGCAAGTTGTGGAATTGGGTGTGCAGGGCTGGTAGGTGCCAGTGCCCCATGGGTCCGGACACTGCGGCCCCTGTGGGACCCTCGCTCCCTGGCCCTTCCCGGCTCCCTCGCTCCCTGGCCCTTCCCGGCTCCTGTAAGGATCCGCTCATCCCTCGCAGGTCGCTGGTTGCCCCAACAAGCCTCGGCACACGGGCTGCAGGTGACTTCCGAAGGCATCAGGCGGGCCAGGCCAGGCTTCAGCCTTTCTCCACCACGGCGCTCTCGGAAAAAACCTGGAAACCTTTGGATCCCTCCTAGGATTTCGGGGACCCCTGCCCGAAAGTCACCCATGGAGCCCAGCTTCAGATCTGCTTGGCGGGCGCCCCTGAGACCCCTGGGAACTGTGGGGCAGGGCGACCAGGGGTGCGCGGCCCTCGTCTTCTATTCTTGCTCCCCGGGAGGACGGAGGGAAGCGGGGTGTGGGTGGGGG